TGCTAGCTTGCGCTACGCTCAGTGGATCTGCGCTCCACAGTGCAGCCTAGGCGGAGTAGTTGAACGCACTGAGCGCTCAACACAGACAGCATCGTCAGAAGAAAAGTTGATAAAAAATTTTTAAATTGTATTGTTCGATACATATGCGTACCGAACCGAAAGCACTGTATCGAACGGTTCAATATCAATACGAGTATCGTTGCACCCCTATGTAATATAAAAAAATAAAACAAACAGAAGGGTTACCCATCTGAAACAGGATGGGCTATGCCAGCTGTTAAGCATCAAGTGAGTTTGAGTAAGAGTGAGGAGACTGCACTCTTGTCAGTTTTCTGTTCTCTTGGATGAAAGATGATGTCAACTATGGCCTATCCCAGCTGTCATGAGACAAAAGGCTGCGTACACCGTGGACTGGTCACCAGGCTGTTGTAGGGCTAACAGAGGGACACCTAGGGGTCATTTTACAGTCACAACAACAACAACATAACGTATGTGTCTTTGGACTGTGGGAGGAAGCCAAAGTACTCAGGGGGAACCCATGCAAGCTTGGGGAGAACATGCCAGCCAATGGCTAAAAGCCATTTTTTATTTTTATTTTTTAAAAAGGACACAAAATGACTTTAAATCCCAGAGCTGCCAAAGACTAGTGTGTGTGTGTGTGTGTGTGTGTGTGTGTGTGTGTGTGTGTGTGTGTGTGTGTGTGTGTGTGTGGGGAAACACTGATATATAATGAATCGATATCAGAAGCCAGTGTTACTAAAGATGTGACCCACTAAATGTTGTCTAAAACGGGACTTTAGTGTGAATTCTCAGGTGGCTCCAGCTGTAAATCTCACAGCTTGTGTTTTTTCTGTTCTCATGTTTTTTTCTGTGTTTACATATTGTGATAGCCTCACTTCATCCACTTTCACATGCAGCATGTAACCTCGCAGTACAGTGGAGGACGCTTTGTTTCTCCTCTGAATGTGCTCCGTATTAAAATGTACACTGTATTTATTATGTGACATGTTTCAGTAGAAAACAATGCGCTGTCTGCATTGTTTGTTACAGTATGTTGTCAGCTTATGATTTTACATTTTCTGCTTCTGCTTTGTATTTGTCCCTTTGCCCACTACACGTGTATAGCTTATATACCGCGTACGGTGCAAAGAGACAAAAACTGTGTTGCTCGTCTTGGCTTCAGTACCGTATATGTCACTCTTTGTCTACGATACAGTATGTATTGGTTCCCCAGGTACAACGTCAGCTTCAGGCAGCACTTCGGCGTGCGGCAGGGTCACGGCCAGCGTCAAGCTCAAGATCACTCTTCGGATCGGGATCAGAGCCGCGGACACCTCTCCAACTCGGACGACGAGGGAGGAATCGCCAGGAGGAGGGTTCCCCGCAGGACCAGCTCAGAAATAGCCAGTGCCAAGATAGCAGGGAGGCCCGTACCTGCCAAGGTGAGGCAGGATTATACAGTCCCTACAAGGAAAATTATTGGTGCAGGTCAAAAATTTGAAGTCCGATCCCAGCTGATAACTGATCTGTGTAGTTGTACAGCCTTTCCTGCTTTGATCACATTTAAATAGCCTTTGCTCACATGCAGGTAAGCGGTCTGTGTGGAGAGCAAAAGAGGCATTGCATTTGTTTAGAAACGAGTGCATCAGAGGGACGGCTCAGGTTGAGCAGTTTGGAGATGCAGTTGGAGAGCCAAGGCTGATGTGGTTTGGACGTGTGCAGAGGAGAGTTAGTGGATATTTTGGGCAGAGGGTGTTGAATATAGAGCTGCCAGGCAGGAGGAAAAGCAGGAGACCACAGAGAAGATTCATGGATGTAGTGAAGGAGGACATGCAGAGCGTTGGTGTGACAGAAGCTGGTAAGAAAGAGGCTGATGATCTGGGAGCAGCCGAAAGAAGACGAACCAGCAGACGAGATGGTGGGCTCAGATTTGTCTGATGGATTTCAAACTTTAGCAAAAGGGTTTTTAAACTTTAGTGGCCTCTTAATAAAGCTTGTAAGTGTTGATATGTGCAAAATATTTGGCTCCAAATATTTTTAATCAGAATCAGAGAATCAGAATCAGAATGTTTGTATGTTTAATGTTTGTATGTTTAACTCTGCAAAACACATATAATATTTTTTACCTTTTTCAGTCAATTTATTACTTTTCTATCATCCTATTGGCAGAAATGCAACTTTAAGCAGTTTTAAACATATTTGGATGCTAGAACTTTACACCCAGTCATCAATAATTGCGATCACGTTCAAAATGATCTGCTTCTACCGCAGCTTTCAGCTTCCTGGGAAGTGTTTTTGTAAAATAACTTCACTTGTAGCCACATTAAACCACATACAGATCTGGCTTTGTGCTCAGGCACATCAACACAGATGGAGGAGCACACAAATATAATTGTGCGAGGAGGGCGATCTCTTTCTAATAATGATGTCAGTGTACATACAAATAATCCATTAGTCAAAGCTCAGGCTTCAGACTGCTGAAGCTCTGTTTCAGAGGAGACATCCCCAGTGTGGTCATTTCACACCACTCTGGCTGCGAGCTTAGAAACCACGGCCAGAAGCCCAGATTAATACAAATACACTGAATTATGCCGAGTAAAGAATAGAAATGCAGAGTAAATAAGCATAAAAGAGCCCCTTTAAATTTTTCCTCCATTGTTACAAACTGGCCCCAAACCAAATGTATGAGACTCCTGAACACAAACTTCATGTAACAGCAAAAATAGACCTGAATCCATCTGAATGTGCATTTTTCACTTGTATGCATGATGAGCCTTTTGAAGCCATTACTTGCTTCTCTGTGACGGTGCTCAGGTATCTCGAGGTTTGTGCTCCTTTTTTATAAACTGTAACAATCCCCGTCTGTGCAGCTCTAATCTTTAAATATGC